GAGCCACCAAACAAGCCACCGCGACTGTCATTCAGAAATCAGTCGGCGCTCGCTCGCTCCGAGTGGGAGATGCCCGCTACCTAAGCGGCCGGGGCACGGGACAGCACTTCCCCGGCCGCAGCCGGCGCACCCGGGGGCCTCGGGGCCGCGCGCCACGGCCGCCCGAGGAGCTGTCAGCGGCCATCCCGGCGGGCAGCGGCGGCCGCGAGGCTCGCGAGCCGGGACCCACGGCGGCCCCGGGCCCCCTGTCAGCCCCCGGCCGCGGCCTAGAGCCGCCCGCCCGCCTCACCTGCGCGGCCGCGGCGCCTCTCCCGCCGCGGGTCGCTCTCGTAGAAGCCCAGCGTCTCGGTGTGCTGAGGCGCGGCTGCGGGCCCGTGGCCGCCGCCCGGCTGCTCCGCCTCGCCGCGGCGGTCTCGCTCCGGGCCGTCCGCGCCGCCGCCACCGCCGCCTTCTCCCGGGGCGGCCGCGTCGCCGACGCCCGCCATGTTCCGAGCACAACAAACCGTCCCCGCCGCCTCCCTCCAGCCTCCGGCCCGGCCTCCGCCTGCGGCCGGCCCCGTCCCCGCCTCGCCCCGCCCCTCGCCGGAGCCCGGGCCGCCGCCGCCATCCGCAGCCCGCCGGCCGGCGCGCGCCATTGGCGTCAGAGGCGCGTGCGAGCCCGCCGCCGCCGCCGCCGTCGCCGCCGCCACGGCCGCCGCCATCTTCTTCCTTCCTTCGCCGTGACGCGCGGCGGCTTCCCTCGTCGCCGCCGGCTCGGCTGGCCGGGGCGCGGCGCCGGGCTCCATGAGGTCGGACCGTAGTGCCGGGGAGAGCGAGCGCCTGCGGGGCTCGGGTGGAGGGCCCGGCGGGATCGGGCCAGGCGCGGCGGCGGCGGCTGTGGAGCCTCGGGGTGACGGAGGCAGTGGCAGCGGCGATCGCTGCCCGCCGTCTGCGAGCTGTCCGGCCGCCCGCCCGGGGTCCCTTTTGCAAGCTCGGTGCCCGGAGTGCGCCGGCGCCGCCCGGCCGGCCTTGGCAGCCTTGGCGCCGCGGCTGGGGCCAGGCTCCGGATGCCCGACTCCCACGAGCTCTGGACCCGTGTGTCCGCTATCTTGGCTCAGTTTCTTCTGCATGCTTATGGTCGCCTGTCACATCCCCGGGCCTCTGGTGCTCGCTCGATAGTTTGTTTCCCAAGCACTTGGGCGAGAAAGGCTCAGGAGGTTCCCAACAGGTGGGGCGCGGAGGCGAGGCGGCTGGCCTGGGGACGGCGCGCCGGGCGAGGTGCCTTGCGCCTATCTCGCGCCCGCGGACTTTGCAAACGGTCTTTCGGGATTAGGGTTGGAGACCGCCCTTGGCTGCCACGGTGTCTTTCGCGCGACACCTGGGCGACCGCTGTCCGTGGGGCTGGACCTTGTGTGCTCTTCGGACTCTGGCTTGCGACCCGGCACCGAGCATGGGCCCCAGGGCAGTTGCTGTCGTCCGCAGCCCGTTTGCTGCTGTTCCAGTGGGATGGGACGTGACCCCCCTCCATTTACCGTGTGCCAACGTTGCTAGTTTACTTTTCTTCCTGGAGCCTTTTGATTTAGCAGGAGCCACACTGACTGTAACGCAGATCTGTGGGTCCTTAGACCTACCCTATGGAGTCAGAGAATCCAGCCTGGCCGGGGCTCTTGTGTGTTCATCAGACTGCGAGGGTGGAGTTCGGTGGACCCCTGACCACAGAGTCCGGGCAGGTTTACCGCATGTGGGCAGCAGCCTGACAACTGCACAGGGCGCCGTTACACAGGCTCACTGGGAAGGATGCACAGGTGGGCGCACGCCTGCACAGGAGCCTCACCCCCTCCCCACCCTCAGACACGGTAAATACATTTCCAGGCAATTCCAATGACAGTCCTCCATAGAATTCTGTTTTAGATAAAAGAGATTGTGCCAATCAAAACAAATGTCCCAGTCAAATCATTATAACCACTTACTAGGAGAATCGGAAAGTAGTGACGTTTTAGGGCTTCTATGGTGCTTTCCAGGTCAGATTCCATCATCCCTGGTCACTTACAGGGTAAAGTCATGCCCATTCGATTATGTACTGAATGTCAATTAGAAAGTCCTCTTTTTTGTTTACCAGAGTTCCCATTAACTGGATAAGCACATTCATGGCCTGGTTTCCTCCTGCCTCCCCCCCCTCTTTTTTTCAGCTCATTTGAAGGGCAGAGTTAATAGGAGGAGCTAGACATCCATCCACCTGTCCGCTCCCCAGATGACTGCAGTGAAGCCAGGAGCCAGGAGCAACTTCCGGGTCTCCCACATGGCTGCCGGGGCTGGATCACTTGGCCCATCCTTCGCTGCCTTCCTAGGTGCGCTAGTTGGAAGCTGGGTCAGAAACAGAGCAGCCAGGACTTGAACCAGGTCGCATATGGAATCTGACACCTTAACCTGCTGTGTCACAGCAGAGGCCCCAACGCCTGCCTTTCACTCAGAAGCCTGAAAGGAAAAGAATCCTAAATATTTTTTTTAAGATTTATTTTTTATTATTTTTTTTATTGGAAAGGCGGATATACAGAGAGGAGAGACAGAAAGGAAGATCTTCCATCCGATGATTCACTCCCCAAGTGAGCGCAATGGCTGATGCTATGCCGATCCAAAGCCAGGAGCCTCTTCCGGGTCTCCCACATGGGTGCAGGGTCCCAAAGCTTTGGGCCGTCCTCGACTGCTTTCCCAGGCCACAGGCAGGGAGCTGGAAGGGAAACAGGGCTGCCGGGATAGAACCGGCGCCCATATGGGATCCCGGGCGTGCAAGGCGAGGACCTTAACCACTTGCGCCACCGCGCTGGGCCCCTGAATTTTGTTTCTTTAAAAACAATGCTTACTTACTGATTTATTTTCATCTGCTTAAAAGGCAGCACTGGGAATTTTCGTCTGCTCATTCATTCCCGGGCTGCAGCCAGGGCTGTCTAAGCTGAAGAAGAGTCAGGAACTTGGGATGGGTGGCAGGATCCCACTCGAGCCATCGTCTGCTGCATCTCAGGAGCTTTTGCAGGGACCACATCAGAAGTGGAAAAGCTAGCTGGGACACCTGGCATGTCTGGATGGTATATGGGCTGGCAGCACCCCAGGTTGGGATTTAGCCTGCTGTGCCACAGTGTTTGCCCTAGAGATTTCTTAAGGGGTCCCTTGTAGGAATGCATTTCTCTGGCACTGTATTCCGAAGACTGTGCTTAGCTTTTTCAAGAGAGGAAGGAGCAGCCACGTCAAGGCTGGGCACTGAGGTGTAATGACAACAGGGGCAGATGAGAAACGCAGTCAGCCTGGGGGGACTGTAACTTGACAGTTCTTTTCGCTTGGGCTGTGTTGTTTTCTCTGACATGTTTGGAAACTGCCTGGCCTCAGACAAGCTCAGGTTGAAGTCAGTACACTAAGATGCATTGTCAAAACAAATATTAATTTCTTTAATAGAATTCTTGTGTAAGTATTGGTAATTAAATAATAAAATGGCATTATATCTGGAAAGTTGTTTCCTTTGAATTAATTCAAACCTATTGCACTTTGGAATGCATTTGGCTTGGCAGCTAAGTTGCCCGAGATGCATATCGAAGTGTCTGGGTTCCATTTCTGCTCTGGCTCTTGTCTCCAACTTCCTGCTAACGCAGACCTGGGGAGGCAGTTGGTATGACTCAGGTCATTGCATTTCTGACACACAACATAGAAGAGCTGTATTGAGTTCCTGGCCTTGGACTTGGGCCTCACCCTGCCCATTCATTGTGAGCATTTGGGGAGTAAGCCAGTAGGTAGGTATTCTTTGTTTCTCAAATTAATTTTTTAAAAATCAAGAAAAAAAGAGCTATTTCAAATATATGTTTGGGGGGAGTCGACATTTTGGCACCACTGGTTAAGCCACCACTGTGAAATTAGCGTCCTGTACAGGCACCAGCAGAGTCCAGCTGCTCCACTTGGGGTCCAGCTGCTGTGGGCCTCTGCCCTCAAAAAAAAATCCTTAAAATATCAAGACACAAAAATAAGATGAGTAATTTACACAGTGCAGAAGAGCCAACAGTCTCTAAAAAACAAACAGTCAAAATATAATGTTCTTTACATCAGTTGTAAAAAGCTATAGGTAGAACTTCCTGCCTAGAACATGATGAATTATGTTTTTAAAAACCTAACCATCCTCTCCATTAAAGAGACAGAGTTAACTTGTGAGGTAAGCCTGAGGTTTGGATGGTGAGCTACCCTAATTCATCCTAAGCATTATTTCTGCAAAGAATGGGATGCTGTGCTGTGGTTCAGCTTCTTTTCATTGTGTTTACACTTTTAACTAGGCAGGAGTTTATCTCTTCATAGCCCTCCCAGTGTATTGCCCTGCAAATGTTTGAAATGGGTCCCCAGCACTTTTCCTAAGTGATGAAAACGGCAGCTAGTCTGAGACCTTGAGTAACCCCCACGAAAGGCTTCAACTCGCTCTGAGCCTCCTTCCTACTGGAGCGTCTCGATCTAGAACACAGATTAGCTTCCCTGCTTCCTTTTCCTGACGAGAGGATCGGATGAGCTGATGCCTTTGCTAGCTCCAAAATTTTGGCCCCAACTCCATGTCAACCCCTTTTTAGATTATTAAGACTCCTTAAAAAGAGTTGTATAGACACAGGCTGACAAGATCGACGGAGAAGTATAAAATTTTTCATCAAAAAGTCACTTTGTAATTGAATCTAAAATCAACATGTGGGGAATTGAGATTACAAACTCAGGGTACCTCACCCCGGTGCATCAGTCTTTGCACTCTGTGCTTCGGTTCTTACAAAACTGAAGGGCTCTAAGTCCCATCTGAGGCTGTGCTGCCCACTCAGAATTGCTGCACTGTGAATAGATTTCCCATATTGTTCCCATCCACACCAAAGTCCAAGACCGTGATTCTAAGAACACATTTAAGCACATCTGAAATGGTGTTTGAGATAACCACTGTTACAGAGCTCATTTGAAAAGTAGGATCCAGGCACTGAAGAGCAGTTCTAATCACCTCTTGTTTTTCTTTTGAGAATGTATTTCAGCTCTGACTTCTGTTTCCTGAACTGCAAATGCTGTGTGTCAGATTCGCAAACTAGTCCTGCATTCAAGTCATTCACCATTTTGTTCTCAGAGAAAAGAGTTGAAGTATTTTAAACACTCAACAGCACTGTAGCTGATGTTCTAATGAAGCAAAACACACTGTGGGCTCAGAGGAAGACTTCGCTGTGCATTTACGAGTTTATCGCATCTCTGGGTTTCGGTAATACTATTTTCTATCCTTGGCAGTTGTTTTTGGACTGGTAACTCCTTGCATTTTATCCTCTCTGGGCTTTAGTCCATGGAGTTTGAAAGGACATCATCTCAGCTTGTTTCTGGAAGATGTAACACAAATTGAATCACATGCGTCTTGGTTCTAACGTACCTGTCACAGCTTAACTAACAGTCTTGAGCAAAGTCTTACTCCTGCAGGCATTTCTCTGGCACGAGACGATATGACCGGAATCATTGGGACAGGGCTTATTTAAAAATGTTTCCTAAGAGTTGTTCTGTTTTGAGTAGGCTTTGTTAATGCGATGAAACTGATCTGTAAGTCCATGCATCACTCGCATACATATGTTTTATATGGATTTTAAATTTCTGGGGAGTTCCCAAATACTGATGAAAAGGCCCTTGGTGATAACATAGCAGGCTTTCCATGACAAGGTTTTCTCTCAGAGCGTTGTTCATTTCTTAACATGGTTTGAGAACAAAATAAAAGACATGCTATGTTTAGGAATGTTTTAATCATTGAATCCATTCCACGAGTAAGAATCTATTTGCGGAATGACTCAGACCATCCATCTATTTAGTTGATAGCTGTCAGAAAGCCTGTGTGACCCCAGCCGCCAGGGGCTGCTTCCAGAGCAGATTTTGGTAACTACCCAGCTCAATTGCCAGCCCTTTGGGAAATTGCCTGTCAGAATTTTCTTATTTGTTTGGTTCCTGTTTTCCTTATTCCCTCGTGGAGAGTTACTTATGGCTTCTTTTAACCATTCATCAAGTAATAGTGTATAATCAGATTTTTACATGTGTGGAATAAATATTTAATTTTCCTTTTTTGTGTTCTTTAAGTTCTTTTGGACTGTGGCTGCAAGTTTGTAATCAGTTTTGATTTTGCCCATTAATCAGCCTTTCCCTTCTAATATTTTCTTTTCCTTGTTTCTGAGATACTGAAATGTGAATGTGTTCTCCGGATCGTACACAGGTTATTAATCCATTATCTCGTCTTATACAAACCCAAATATTTGCCTTACTTTTGGCTTGATTACTAAAAATTATTATAAATGTACCCTACATTTTCAGAATCTCAAACAATACTCTACTATTGGTTTCTGCTTTCCAGGATTTAGAAATGCATATGATTTCCAGACCTTAGATTTTCTTTTTTTTCATATTATTATTATTATTTATTGTTAATAACATTGTATTATGTGATACAGTTTTATAGGTACTGGGATTCCCCCCACCCTTCCCATAACCCTCCCCCCATGGTGGATTCCTCCACCTTGTTGAGTAACCACAGTTCAAGTTCAGTTGAGATTCCTTCATTGCAAGCATATACCCAGCATAGAGTCCAGCATGTTATTGTCCAGATAAGTTCAATGGCTTCTTGGGTAGACCTTCTCTGCAGACCTTAGATTTTCAAATTGCTTTTTCATATGCATCTGTTTGATTCCTCTCTTTAATTCTAGTGCTGTGTTTATATTGAGGTATGTTCCCATTGTTTCTAACATTTTTCAACTTAGTATCAAGTTCAAACAATGAACAGATTTTTACTTGCTTGTATTTCATATGTATACTTAAGAAGTACTATAACTCAGATGTATGGTTTCAAGAACAACAGTATTGTGATTAATTTTCAAATTAATCATCAATAAAAAGAAACCATTATTGTGGCTTTTAACAGGCATTATTTTCTTGGGACAGTTTTGTCCCCTTAATTATACCTTGCCTAGCTGTACCATCAGTTTGTGTTCTTCTGAGTATATGCCCACTGATGACAGATACATGCTGGGATTAAAGTTTTGCTATACATAATCCACACATAAATATTTGATTGCAAAGAAAACTGAGGCTAGCTCAGCCACTGATCATTACCTATTATAACTTTCACTGTTGACTTTCATCTCTATATTTACCGTGTCATAACACCAATTATCTAAGTAAAAGTTCATTTCCCATGCTGTAAACCATTTACTCGTTTTTAAGAATTATTTATTCATCTGAAAGGCAGCATGTCAGGGCAGAGAGAAAGAGCGAGGGGGAGAGAGAGAGAGCTGGGACTGGAGCAGGCTGAAGTCAGACACCGGAAGCTCCATTTGGTCCTCCCTGGCACAGGTTCGGGCAGTGAGCCAGTGCTTGTGCCATTACCTGCTGCCTTGCAAGAGCATCATCAGGAAGCTTGAGTGAAAACATGGAGTAATCGGCACTCATACCAGGATCTCTGAGAAGGGATACCCACATCCCAGGCAGCAACACAGTGCTGACACCCGCCAAACACTTTTTAATATTGGTATAAATGATAGTTGACTCAATTGATTGTTTCTGAATGATGGTGGTTTCTTGCAATTTGATTTCACTTTTACAAGCTTGGCTAACCCTTACGTAGTTGCTAGTTTATCTCCAGATAACCAATCAAATTAATCTCATGTTAAGTAATTAAAGTACAAAGCTAAGTGGATTTCATTGACTGGGATACTGAATGTCCACTTCAAATCTGCCCATTTGTTCCCACTCACATTTCAGTGCCATTCCTTGCAGAGCTTAACTAATATGATTAAGTTGGTGTCTTACAGGTTGTGTTCTGCAAGATAGATGGATTCTACAATTGGTTTCAGCCTTTGAATGCCAATAATTTTCTACCAAGGGTGTTTCTTAAAACAAAACTTATCAAGCAAGGATTTTCTCTTCAGACTGCAATACATATTTTTATTAAGCTAAAGTCATCTTACAGAAATAAGTACAAACACGCAGGTGGAGTCACCCATGCAAGCATTGCTTTTTAGCTAACCAGTGAGTTTCTCAAAAACAATCTGTTCTTTTACTTCTATGTCAACATGGGTAAAATACTTGTCTGGGAGCAGGCAATAGAACATTATCTCCATGGATGGCCACGGTCAGAAAGGGCCTTTAGAGGGGTAGCTGAAGATAATCAAAGAGAGTGTGAAGTTGGAGTCAGGAGTCTTGGGCAAGGAGGCCTACCCCTTGCTGGCCACGAAGCCTGGGATGTATCCAGGGCTTTACTTTCTTGACCCACAAAGCATATGGAAGAACAGATGACCTTAAAGTCTTCTTTCAGCTCATGAATCAGTGACTTTTAAGTGCCTTTGGTTATTTTAAGCAGGCATTACATGCTGACGTCATAGGTATGATAGGACTTTTCTTCTGATGAACTTCCAGTTCCCTGTTCTAAACCAGAATATTGACCTTAAATTACTTTCCTTCAATTTAGTGTTTCTTTTTCAGAAAACATTTCTTAAATCATTTTTCATGTATCAGGGACTGCACAAAGTCCCAGGGTATCCAAAATCAATGAGATGTGTTTCCTGTCCACAAAGCAGGAAGTAACACAGCAGAGCAATGAATGAAGTGACACTATAGAGTTCTAAGGAGAGTTCATTAATTCTGTTTTGCAGGTATCCTGATTAGAAGGGAGTGGCATTTGACTAATTCTGGAAAGATGTGTTTGCTAGATGGAAAACAGGGCTGAAGAAGGCATCTGAAGTTCCGAGAGATGGAAGTCACAGCGAGTGCAGAATGACAAGTACGACAATGTCAACAGTTGAGTACCTTTTCAAGGTGGATTTCCAGAGCTGAATCAAAGGAATCGCATAATGCATAGGACTGGGCATTGACCAGAAAGAAGAATGGGTGGGAAAGGCTTAGATGTAGGCTGAGGAATTAGAGTTAAAGGTTGCCAACTGTGCTTCTCAACCTTCTCCATAAATGGAAAAATAATTTATAGCATTTTTTAGCTAATTTATGTTGAGATATGAGTGCGCATCTACTCATAATTGTTGGGTAAGACAAATAGAATATTAGTGTCTATTTTTTGAGTATTTACTATGTATTAAATGTTACATAAAATGTCTTAGTCCAGTATATAGTTAGCAGATTTTATCAACATCCTTTTTGGCTTTTTTTTTTTTCTGAAAAGTTATCTCAGCATAACATTTGCACAAAAAACTTTTGTTTTTATTATTTTTGTTTGGCTGTAAGACGATGAATCATACACAGAGCTGATTCATTTTTTTAATTTACAGATACATTTTAACAATAGTATTTTCTTTACATATAGACTAGCACATTTAATTTCAAGCTCCCAAATCCAACTCTTTCAGTCTGTTGAAAGGGTTTAAGGAAATGATGGCTCAAGAAGTGACTTCAAAGTTCTGGATTACTTTGAATCAAGACCTAATCACATATCAGAAAGAATGATAATTTATTCAACTTTGTCTCTGAGCCTCAGCTTTCTCCTTGGACAGTTTTGGAGTAGGGCAAGAACTGTGCGTCAACTTGGATTCAGCAACTCTCCTTTGAGCCATCTAGCTAAGACATTAATTATTCTAATGTAAGAACTTCTGCTTTTTTTTTTTGTTGGCAATTGGCATGCAGTTTTCATTAGCACTTGGCATGCAGCAGAATATGTTGATGAGGCCCAAGACATGAAGAAATACGTTCCTAATGGGCATCTTGATGACTGTGGCTGCATCCAAGAAAGATGTTGTCTGTGTAATGCTCAGTGCTTCTGAGAAATCATCCTTGCTGGCATGGCTACCTTTGTTCATTTAATCATTTCGGTGTTTTAAAATGTCAAAATATTGGCATTTGCAGCTCCCGTCATCTATACTACACTCAGAATATTAATTTCTGAAGCTTGGTCTAACGCAACAGCTGATGTATAAGAAAACCAAACTGATTTTCTGTATTTTTCTAGGATTCTCTTCTGACATGACCAAGCTCTGGGTTGGCACTAATATCGCCCTCACAGTCCTCCTGAACCTCCTGCTTTCCCAAGGAATAAACCCACCGTGGCGCAGCTGCAATTGTAAGCTACATGGACTTGTAACTAATTTTTTATGCTACTCTTTTCCTCTGTTGACTATCAATGCCACATTTGTAGGAACTGTGTTCCAATGTCTGCCTTTGGGTTTCTCTCCAATTGAAAGACACAACATAAACGTTGTAGTTAAAATGATGCAAGTGAAATCCCAACTGCTACTTTCTTTCTCTGGAAATTGGGGCGAGGTATTTAAGTTCCTTGAATTTTTAAAAATGAGGATAATAATACCTGTGTCCAGGATGCAAAAAATAAAATAGTTCCTTCTTCAATCCAACTCACACATACGTAAAGAGAGCTCATTACCTATTCGTAATTCCAAGTATTACTGTATTTGCTACTAACAAAATAAAGGTGAAAAAGGCATGACTTTGCTCTAAAAATTTTATAATTTGGTGGAAGACATAGACTAGGAAAGAAACAACTGCAGTGTCATTCTCGAAGGGTGAGTAGGGAGTCATTAGCACAGGGGTTCTAAGGGTTGGGGTGGAGGCGGTGGGATTTGAGGTAGAAGAGGTGTGTGCAGTGCCTTGGAGCCAGAGTAGGCGGCAAGTCCCTGTCACAGAGAGAAACAGGCACGAGCTCAACTGCAGGGCTCTGCTGGAGATGTCAGGATCTCGAGGAATGTAGGCTCAGACGTGTGCTGTGGACCCCGTCTCTTCCCCGGACATGGGTGGAGTGGTTTGTGAGTCCAAGAAATCAGACCAGTGAAGAGGCTGTAGCCCAGAGTGACCATGGCCCAAGCAATAGGAACTGAAGTGGGAACAGGACAGAGAAAACCACTGAGCGAGACTGAGGAGTCAAAAAAGGCGGGCATGTGAAGGGAACAAACAGGTTGGAAGGGAGGAAGCAGAAATTTCAAGGGGAAATGCACAGAATTTTAACTTGGGAATAATGGTGTTCTTGTCTGAGATAAGGCTACAGATGAGAAGGGAAATGAGGGTCCTGCCCTCAGAGTGCATTGTTGCTCTTACCATGGGAATTGGGTGGGTGGGTTATTGAGAGAGTGTGGCACCTCCTCTTCTTCTTTCCCTCTTTGTGCATGTGTGTGATGTCTTCCACCACTGTGACGGCCCCCAACTTGAACTTGTGGCTTTCCATTAAGTAGCAGAAAAGAGGCAGAGCCCGTTCTGTGGCAACATAGGAAAATTTGACTTCATTGTGTTGAGTTCATGTATGTTTTGTCCCTCCTGAGTCTTTTTTTTTTTTCCTGAATATGAACATTTCTGTCAGGGTGATATCAACAATGATGAATTTTGTGGCAAAGATTAAACTGCATTAAGGCAATTTAATTTCTCATTTCATTTTCTTTATGGCATATTTAAATTTTCTCCCAATTGCTTCCACTTGCATTTGTATGTTGCTAACATTATTTCTATCAGGATAACATCTTTCTTGTGTACATTTTAAAATGAAGACTTGATTAATCAACTTGTCTTTGCCAAAGTTTTATGGATGACAGCTTTTCCATAGTGAGTTTCTTTTTAGCTCTTCTGTATTTATCATGTCAAGTTTACCATGTTGGGGAAAGTGTTTGGCCTGCAGCTAAAGTTATCTGTTTGGGATGTCCACTGTCCTATCAGAGAGCCTGGGTTTAAGCCCAATTCCAACGTGCAGTATGCACCCTGGGAGGCAGCAGGTGGTAGCTCCAGTGGTTTAAGCCACATGGGGTGTCTTGCTTGAATTCCAAGGGGTAAGGATCACCACCCTAGTCTTGCCCACAGATGACATTTCCCCAAGCACTTGCGTTATTTTTGCTGCTTTCCCAGGTGTTATTAGCAAGCAGCCGGATGGGAGGAAGAGCAGGTGGGACTTGAACTGGGGCTTCTGCTGGCATTGCAAGTGACGGTTTAACTTACTGGAGCCCACAACATTGGTGCCATTTGTTTTCTTTTAATAGAGCAGAGACTCCAGCATGGGCAGATGCTGGTTGGTTGCAGGGGTGAGCGTGAACAGATGGTGTGGCTGGAATGGGATTGCTGAGGCACACGTTAAGACCCTAGTCCTTTCCAGCATGTCAGATCTGGCAGACATTTTGTGTCCTGAACCTCCATATCCCGCAGTTCCTCAGCAAGCACGTGTCCAGCAGAATGTCACCATTCTACGTCTGTCTCTGCTGTGATTTCCCAGAGATTTCTGATTCCTCACCCATGCCCTAGAGTTTTCTTCTGAACTGCCCTCATGGCTTGTTTATCACTCAACACAGTCGTCTGGCAAGGGGATCTTATCTTTGCTCTTAATCTCTTGGATGCTACTACTTGGATAAAGTCCTGTTTTGATACCACGGTTTGCCAGCTGTGAGGTAGGGCTTACTCCCTCTGCTGAGAACCAACACCCACAGGTCCCACCAAACCAGATCAAACCCTCTCCTATGACCCTGCACTTTCCGTCTGCTCTGAGACCTCCACCAAGCTGCAACAAAGCTGGGATGCTCCGCAAGATGGGAGCAGTCACTGACACAGACAGACTGCGGGGGGCTCCGGAGAGCTCACCTGACATCACCGTATCTTTGAGCTCATCTCAGAACCAGGTGCTCTTGGAGACAAGGGGGACTAAAACATGAAGAGACATGGCTCCAGTCATCAGGGAGCTCCTGGCACAGCAGGTGAGTGAATTATTGTTGCAACACTATGTGCAAGGTGGGCACAGTGAGGAGCCAACTAATCCAGGTAAGCAGAGGCAGGAAGACTGCTCCTGATCCGCCCCCCATAGAATCATTAGCAATCTTGTTAGGTTAGGTGAACCTCTGAAGCGCCCTCTCCTTTGTCTCATGTCATTGCTTCATTTGCCAGTTCACACAGCTCCAAAGGTTAACTTTGTTTTATGGTGCTGGACAAATTCCAGGCCTGCAATTTACCTTACCTTAAAGAAAACTTGTCTGCTTATGTCATAGCCAACCTCAGCCACCAGATCTCTAGGACATGGAAGAAAGGACGTTCTGTCTCAATTCCTTTATATTTTTAGCAGATATCCCTTCTGCCCTGTTCTGCCCTGAACATTTTTTGGTTTTGCTTTGTATTTCTGTCTTCAGGACAAAGTGCAGGACAGTTGAGTCGGCTGCTCTGGAGTCTGGTGTGTTTGCTTGACCTCTAGGGGACTGGGTTCTGGGCACGTGATTAAAATGAAAATGGGCTGAGTGATCACAGTTCGGCATCCTTCCCTCCGACACACTCTGAGTCTCTGTGGTTTTCTCACCCGGCTGGCTCCTGGTTCCCCTGATGTTTGTTGTCTGTAACTTTCACACTGGTGTCCCATGGGGGTAGGCACCCTACAGAGAGAGGGCGCATGGAGAGCCAGAGGGAAAGTCAGAGACTCCTATGCTTGTTTCCCTGTTGAGCCTCTGTTGTCCTTTGAGCCAGAGAGTGTTTGCCTAGATTGTGAAAGAAACACAAATACTGGGCATGAATCACCCTGCAGACTGACTTGTGAAATATACTACATGAAACTGATCCACAAGCACCAACCTAGTGTGGATTTGGGTGTCCACTAGGGTGGGCTCCTGGGAGATAGGGCAACAAGCTTGCACTCCTGCCCAGTGCTCTCTGTCTCCCCATTGTGCCCTGTAGTTCTGCAATCTTGTGCTCTATCAAAGAATGGGCAGGGTCTGTCTCGTGGAGGTTCACATCCGGTGTCCCCCAACCCCGCAGGTTCTTGTCTTCACAGCCTCTGCATATACCCCATTTTTCTTCTCTGTTTCTCTGCAAGCTCTTTGGAGCACAAGCTGGTGCAAGGCTGCCTCCTGGGCCCTCTGTGCGGAAGATGTGAGAAAGTGTAGATACCCCAAGTGGTCTGTCTCCTCCGCCCGTCCCTTCCCAAGGGCAGGACTTGGGGGAAGCAGGGACTGTTAGGCAGAAAGGCTTTTATGCTCTACTTCCGGCATTATCTCCCGAGGTGACTGCATGCTCAAATAGGGAGCAGGGCAAGGAGGGACTCTGGTCAGTGCCTCACAGTGGACTCTTGTTACACAGGCAAGAGAGAGTAAAGAAGAGAAACGCCCCCAAACAACTAGAACTGCCAGAACAAATATTTCCAAAATATGTAATATACATCTGTGGGTGTATATATGTAAACATTTCCAAGTTGTAAAGATTTCTGGCAAACTTGAGGCAGAGGCTCTGAAGGGTGAGGGGTGTATGTGAGTTGGGGACAGAGGGATCCTCTGCGCAGCTTCTCATGTCTGGTCTCTTGTCACTCCCTGCAAGCCACTCTTCTTGGACCACATTGCCTTCCTTTTTTATTCGTTCTTTTTTACCCCTGCCATTGACCTTCACTCTTGCCCTTCCCCCATCCTTGGAAAGCTGATGGTGCAGCAGGCTGGCTACTCTACTGTCAGAGCATGGTCAGAGGCCCACATGCCTGGGTTCAATTTCTTCCAGTAAATTTGCTGATATAAGATACTACCTTTAAGTTGCTGCATGAGATGATTCTATTGCTTTTTAAAATTTAATTTATGGGGCTAGCATGGTTGTGCAGCTGTTCAAGCCTATGCTTGCAATGCTGACATCTCATGAGAACACAAATTCAAAGCCTGCCTATTCCATTTCCCATCTGGTTCCCTGATAATACACCTGGGAAAGCACTGGATGATGGCCCAAATCCTTGGGCTCCTGCCACCCATATAGGAGACATGGATGGAATTCCTGGCTGCTGACTTGGACTGCTGTCAGGTGTGGAGTGAATCAGCAGGTGGAATTTGTTTTTCTCTTTTCTGCCTCTCCTTCTATCTCTGTCATGCTTTCAAACAAATAAATAAGTATCTTTACAAAAAATTGATTTTACTTTTGAATATAATAATATTTATTTTATTCAAAAGTCAAAACTATGCAATTATGCCTAAGACACTCTTGCTCTCAGTTTGATGCTCTGTACTCAGCTCCCGGTCCAATGTGATTCAAAAAGTGTGGCTTGCAGGGAGCGACAAGAGACCAGGACCCCTGCATCCCCAACACACACACACACATCCCTCTTCCGCCTTTCAGAGCCTTTGCCTCAAGCTGCCTGTAGGTAACTCATTTTGAGTCTGCTTTATTCTTCCAATATTCTTTTAGAAAAGCAAAGACATGTGTCAGCATATCGTTATGTGTACTATATGCATGTGTGTGTGCATGGATGTATTCCTTCAGTATTTATTCTTGCAAATATGCACCTACAAAGGTTGCCCAGTGATGCCCTTCATTTGTCTCTTACTTTCATGGCTGACATTTTATTGCAGAGGGCACTCTTTTTTGATGTTTAGACAGTTCCTTGTGCTTCCTCAATGCTGAGTTGATAGGACCATGTGGATCTGTCATAGTTTATGATTCCCCTCTCAGTAAGCATTTGGATCTGCTGCTGTACATAAAGTCACAGAAATGCTCTTTCACATTTGT